ACTTTATATTTACTGTTAACTGATCATATGCATATGATAAGGTGAATACCTTTATGATAATTTTTTTTTTTGATAATTTAATTATAAAATATTCGGGAGGAAAAAGGGACACTTCATGTGTTATTAGGTTTTAACTAGGATTTAGAGAGTCTGACCAAACTCACTTTTTTTTGGATATAATATTTTTGTTAATATAATACAATTTGATATTAAGAGGGACATAAATTTAATGTGGTTTGTTTTTAAATATTATATAATGAGTATGGAACAACTCATTTTTTGGATGTAATATATATATTTAATATAATTGTAATAGAGATTTATCAAGTTTGATATCTTTACAATATTGTCATTAGTACCTCATTTTAGTAGAACTAATTTAAATTTAAATGACTACCTTTTTGTTTTAAGACTTTGGCTACCCTACGGACTATTCTTGTTGTATACTAATATTTCATATTTTATTTGGCCAGTGGTAGTGACTATTCATTTGTTGAGGGGCTATTAGGTCCTATTGTATCTGTACACCATCCACTACCACTGTTATTTGGCTTTGCATTATATGTAAATTGTTTATACACATATACCTATATACATTTGTTTATAAATATATTTATTGTTGCTATTTTGAGTTTTATTTCAGTTCTACTAACCAGTATATAACATAGCAAAACAAGATTAATATTTAGTATTTTTGTATTTCAGAGTATTACCTCCAGATTCATTTGTTACTTCAAAATCTCAACTATCGTTGAGTTGGCGCCCTTCTTTTCTCTTCTTATTGTTCTCTTTCTATAAATTTATTCCCAGTGACCTTCTTTAGTTGTATCACGTTTGATATTACCAGGTCTCATTTCGTTTCTTGTCTCATTAGCTCAGTATCCTTGCTATCTGTTTAAATCTTTAAAGCCACAATCCAGTGCATTGAAGCTAGCCCGAACACTCACTTGAGATTTAGTGTCTCTTTGGCCATTTAAATTTGTTCCTCTGAGCTTAGCCCTATTTTTAGTATTTTTTTTTCCATCACTTCTCTTTCAGTTCTTCTGAACTTTGTCAATTCACACATTTCATTCGTTTCAATCCTTTAAAGTGAGTATTTATAACCAACATTTTGAGAAAGCTATGGATCCTAGCATATGGCCCCAAGGTGCATATGTGCGGCGTTTTTTAGTAAAGAAGATGCCTTTACTTCAAATAGTATAAATCAATCTCAAAAGTTGACAGTTTGTCACTTAAATTTTAGAAGTTTGAGGTACAAAATTCAATACTTGGAGGAATTGACGGTGTCTCTAAATTACCCCGAAGTATTTTGTGTTAGTGAAGTGTGGTGTGATAAACATGAAACTTTAAATTTGTTCTTGGACTCTTATGTATTAAGCGATTTCTTCCATCGTTCAGACTCAGGTGGGGGAGGGGTCGCAATATGTGTAAATGTAAGTTGTTCTTTTACTATTAAAAACTGTTCGCTTGCTAAGATTGATAAAATATTTGTGTATGCTTTGATTGATTTGGTATATCAAAATAACATTATAACTGTTGGCTGTTTTTACAGATCATCAAAGGATACACAAACGTTCATAAATAAAATGGACGAAATGTTATCAGAAATATTAAACAAAAATAATATTATTTTCATCTGTGGTGACTTCAATATAAATTTTGATCCAAAGGTACACAATATAGATGCATTAAGATTAAAAAATATTTTTACTTCTTATGGTTTAAATCAATGTATTTTTGAATATACTAGAATACATAATGACTCTAAAACTGTGATTGATAATATTTTCTGCAATGTAAATATTAAGTTTTTATCTTGTTCTGTTGTTTATACCGATGTGAGTGATCACTTTTTACAGAAAGTTGAATACAACTTGAATGCCTCTTTTTTGGTGGATAATATTGTTTATAAACGTGATTTTAATAGCGCTCTTAATATTAATTATTTTAATCAATTGCTCTCTAGGGAATCTTGGTGCTTTCTAGACTCAGATCTATCTTCGGATAACAAGTTTTGCATATTTTATGAAAAAATTTTGGAACTATTCGATAAAGCATTTCCTTTGCAAACGGTGAATACTAGACGATTTTCTAAACAGTCTAAAAACAAGGGATGGTTGACTTCTAATTTAATAAATGAGGGAGATTTTATTAGAGACATTTTCAGATCTATAAAATATTCAGAAAGTCATGAGCTCAGAATACGGTATAACATTCTAAAAAAAATCATGAATACAAAGTTAAGTTAGCCAAGCAAACTTATTTTAATAATAAAATGATAAATGCACAGAATAGTACGGCTGAGGCTTGGCGCATCATAAATCAAAACACTGTCGGAGGTAAAAATCGAAACTCTTCAAAATACCCAAGTAATTTTAAAAATAATTTGGGAATTTCTGTGGATAACCCTCATGACATAGCTGAATCTTTTAGTCAACATTTTTCGAATTCCGTAAAAAATTTAATTAGTCAAACTTCACCTGACTATAATCCTAAGAATCTTTCTTCGCCTATACACTCCCTTTTCCTTTATCCTGTTAGTGATGAAGAAATAAAGAGTATAATTAAAGATATCTCAAAAAAATCCTCTGCTGGACTGGATGAGATCCCGTATTCTATGTTATTACATGTATCTCATAACATATATAAACAATTAACATTTCTAGTAAACCTTTCATTTCAGGAAGGGATTTTTCCTCAAATTCTAAATACTGCTCTAGTTGTGCCTATACATAAAAAAGGTGACAAATCAAAATTTGATAACTATCGAGGCCTATCACTTTTATCTGTGTTTTCAAAAATATATGAGAAAGCATTTCATACACGTCTCCTCTCATATATTAAAAGGCAAAACATTATAGAAAAGTCTTAATTTGGTTTCCGTGAAGGTATAAGTGTGCAAGATGCACTACTAGCGCTGTGCAATCATATTTTTTCGAACTTTGATAAGGGTAATAAAGTTATCTGTTTGTTTTTTGACTTAGCACGAGCTTTTGAAACTGTAAATCATCCAATACTGCTGGAAAAACTTTATCATAGTGTTAGGAACTGCGTAAGTGATCAAACTTTAGAAAGGTTCAAAATAGGTAATGTGAATGGAAATATAATATTTTCTTCAGAAGAAAGTGTCCTCTCCGGAGTTCCACAGGGAAGTATCATTGGCCCTCTTTATTTTTGATTATCGTCAACGATTTAAATCAACTGATAAACGATAGCTCAACATGTTTGGTTCGGAATCCATTAGATAATTTTTCTGATGCAATAAGCGTTCGAGGAGAAAACTTGGAACAGCAATCAGGCTGTTACGGTCACTCAATTGGCTGACGATACCACAGTTGCACTAAATTCCAATAATTTTTCTCATGTAGTTCAAAAAGCAAACTGTCTTGTAAAAAGTATGAGTCTTTACTGTTTAAATAATGCCCTAATCTTAAATCGATCAAAGACCAATATGGTAACCTTTTCACCTTCTACTATGAAGATGAGTCCATTAGTAAGGCTTGACAATGGGTCTGTGGTAAATAGCCACTCCACCAAGTTGTTAGGTGTTTATCTGGATTCTAATTTGTCTTGGAGTTCTCACGTTGATTATGTAGTGGGAAGATTGTCTGTACACTGTTATGTTCTATGGCAACTTAGGAATTTTGTCTACCTAGAAATCTTGAAACTTTACTATTTTGCTCATGTACAGTCAATTTTGCAATATTGCTTAGTTTGTTGGGGAAATTGCTCGCGTATTAATGAGGTGCTTGTTCTTCAAAAAAAAAATTATTCGTACCATGACGTTTAGAAGGCGCTTGGATTCCTGTAGACCAATTTTTAAACAATTAAATATTTTAACTGTAATTTCGCTGTATATTTTCAGTTGTGTTGTATATGTAAAGTCACATAGATGTAATTTTATTTGCAGAAATGATGTTTCCTTAATGAGTGGCTACAATTTTCGTTACAGAAATGATTTGGTGACACCTGCTCGTCACTTGACTGTTGTGGGCAAGGGTCCTTACCCAACATGCGTTAGTTTGTATAATAAATTACCTAATTAGGTTAAAGAGTTAAATATTTATGTATTTAAGAGAACAGTTAAGAAATTACTTCTGGCAAACACTTTCTATTCGTTAGAGGAATACTTGCAGGCATCTTTTTAACAATTTGTATGTTTTTGTGTATATTTTATGTTTTATGATTGTGCTTATAGTTTTTACTTTTTTTTACTACCTATGTACCTATAGTTTTTTAGATTGTATTTTGACGCATTTCAATACTTGTAAAAGTCAGATGAAATAAAGAATATTGATTGATTGATTGATTAAGTTAATTTTGGAAAAATGGAAACTTAAAAGTATGCATTAATTTTGACTAGGACTTGACCATAATTTGTAAAACATAAATGATTGTATCGTTAAAGGCGATTCTTGGTTATACGATGCAGTTAAAATCACAATTTTCGATTTTTTGGACTTAGTAAGTTTTGGAATAACGCTCTTCAATTATATTCCAATGGGTTCCATCATTTTATTATTTTTTTTTACTTTTTATCATTTTAAAAGGCTTTGGAGCTGGTCTATAATACCTGGTTTAACAAGAAAATTTATTATTCGGAGGAAGTGGAATCCACTGTTTTACTATTTTAGTTAAATGAATGTTTTATCGATATTATTTTCAGATATATATGAAATATTTAAACTTTATGATTTTTGCCAGCAATGCATACTATTCTTTACCGTTTATATAAAAATATTACATGTCGAATTTAATACCATAATCCGAACATAAATGTTCGATTGTTGCAGTCTACTACAAAATATAAATCTACTTATTTTCAAAATCGAATTCCTGAACATTCAAAAAATAAACAGTATAACGACATATATCTATTTCCATCAGCGTTTTATTTACTTCCAATATTACAACCAAAACGTAAACTCTGAACCACGTTTATTGAATTCAATCGCTTTCTAAGGAAACTAATACCGAACACAAACAAAAAAGTATCTTACCTATCATGGCAAACAAGTCTGATGTGTAGTTAGCTTCTGCTAAGGAAGCGGCTGTTTCCGAGCTTCCTTCCTTATTCTTCTTTTTCCTGTTCAGCACGTAACTAACGGCTAGACCGAAGTAAGCGCCGAAAGCGTGAACGAATATCGAACCACCTGCATCTGCGACCTAACAACATATTTTTCAATTAGAAAATTTGTGTCAGTTGGGGTCGCGAACGGATCGTACGGCGGTCGGTTTCCCAGATTTTTATATTATTGGGAAAGAAAATAAATATTATTTGTGAGAAAGGTCAAATTTGATTTAATTTGTAAGGGATGACGGTGTTATGTGAGAGGAATATTTTTTTTATAAAATACCCCAAAATGTTCGTCGAATTTAATAATTTAAGATAATTCCATTTTTTTCATAGACATTTTTAGAAATTGTCCAGTTAGGCAATTGTTAACTGTTGGAAACTGTTAAAAATTAAAAAGGGATTTTTTATTTGCTTTAATTTATTTAAAGGTGATATGCCTAATTAGTTTATGTAGTTATAAAAGTATGCGCAATAATATAAATGACTATATATTCGAAACATCATTTAGGTACAGAGCATATCACATTTAATAATTTCTGTATGTTTTAAAAATTTTAAAAATAAAAAATATGTATAATAAACAATTGAAAATAACAGCATTTACTATATTTCTAGAAAAACGAAATCTTGCGAGCAAAAAAATCGACTTAAAAGTTGAATAAGTTCATCATCATCATCATTTTGGCTTTACAACCCTGTGTGGGTCCTAGCCTCCCCAAGAATTCTCTTTCAGTCGTCCCTTTCTATTGCCTTCCTCCGCCAAGCACGTATTTCCATATTTCTCATATCTTGGTCTATGTTATCTAGGAATCTTGTTCTGGGTCTTCCTCTTCTTTGACCAATAGGTCTATCAAGGAGCGTTTTTCTAGCTGGGTCGGTTTGCTCCAAGTCCAGGTTTCTGAACCATATGTTAGAACTGGGCGTATTATTGTTTTGTAGAGTTTTACTTTTGTATTTCTTGATATAACTGTAGATTTAAAAAGGGGATTTGCGGTAGTGTCATTTTCAGTATTGACGAGCGTTCCCAGGTATAAAAATTCGTTAACTGCTTCGATAACGTCGTTTTCTATAACAAGTGGCCGTCGTATTTGTGGTTGCGGACCTATGTTCATGTAATTCGTTTTATTAATGTTTATTATTAAACCCATTTTTGTAGCCGCTTCCTTTAGTGCTACATACACCTCTCGTGCTGCGTTTTCCGTTCTCCCAACAATATTGATATCATCAGCATATGCTAGGATTTGTACAGATTTGTTATATATTGGACCGGTAGTTGTGATTTGTGACGTACGTATTACTTTTTCCAGAGCTAGATTGAATAGTACACAGGAAAGTGGGTCTCCCTGACGTAGCCCGTTATTTGTATTAAAAGGTTCAGAGAGCTCCCCCTGGATTCGTACTTTGCATTCAACTTTTTCAAGGGTTAGTTTGGTTAGACTTACCAACTGATTTGGTACTCCTAGGTCTATCATTGCTCTTATTAATTCTCTTTAACAGACTATTTACAGAGTCGTAGGCTGCCTTGTAGTCTATAAATATGTGGTGCGTACACCGTATTCCAGTGTTTTCTCTAGTAGAATAAGTTATATTTTTTAAATACACTGATTGACCAGTGTATATCCACATATACGTAAAATTAAAAGTAAAATATCGTGAACAGTAGTGATCGGCGAAATGGCTCATTTGAATGTTTTAAGCACAAATTTATTGTTTTAGGTGTAGGTTGGATATGTTTAGTCTGGTTTTATTTAATTAGTTTTTTTCTCGGTAACTACTTCATTTTAATATGTGATCCAGCATTATCACTTACCTTATCTTGGGATATACTTTCTGATTTAAATGATATTGACTACTTTCCGATTGTAATAAATCCTGACAGTATACAATACTCTTGTAATGCTGAAAAATGGAATATCAACAAATCAAATTAGCAAGAGGATTATAATCTAGTTTTAAATGAAATAAATGCATTACATGAAATTTGACAATCAAATAATAATAGTAATAGTAAAATTAACGAGTTTTCCAATGTACTATTAAATGCCGCCAAAAAAACCGTCGGTAAAATGAATTGGAAACAATGGAATTCGTCAATCCCTTGGTGGAATTCTGAATGTTAAAAAGATACTAAACTTTCAAAAACAGCATTATATCGATTTAAGAAATTTAATACACTTGAAAATAAATTAGAATTCAAACGACTAAAACCACGAGCTAGATTCATCATTAAAAGAAGTAATCGTGAATAATGTGAAAAGTTTGTTTCAGAATTAAATTCATCTACACCAATTAATGAATTGTGGCAAATGGTATAAAAGATTTCGGGAAAAATACCCCAAACTACATTAACTTCTTGTTTTGTTGAAAACAAAAAATATACACTTCCCCTCTAGGCATAGCCAATATTCCAGCTAATAGTTTTGAAAAGTTCTCAATGGATGATGTTCTTCCTCCAGATTTTTTCACTGAAAAAAAAGAGAGGAATCTAAAGGTATTAATATACCGCCTGATGACTTTTCTCCTTTAAATTATCACATAACAATGAATGAATTAGAACACTCACTCAGTAATACGAAAAACTCTTTTCCCGGTCCTAATATCATCCCTGCAATATTTCTTTAAAAACTTCCCTTATCTGCAAAGAAAAACTTGCTGAATATCTATAATAATATATAGAGACATAGCAAGTTTCCAAAAATCTGGAGATCATCTATCGTCATCCCTATTTATAAACAAAATCAACCAAAATCTCTGTCACATTCATATAGACCTATTTCTCTAACTTGTGTAATGTGTAAAGTTCTCGAGAAAATCATATCCAACAGATTAATATGGTTTTTAGAAAATAATAAATGCCACCGGAATAAAGCAGATTCCGGAAAAATCGTTCAACACTGGATAATCTTATTAGTTTAGAGTTTGATATCATAAAGCAATGGCATGTGGACAAAAATGTATCGAAGTATTTTTTGACATAACTAGAGCATACAATACAGTTTGGCGCGTTGGTATTATTCAAATACTTAGTCGATGGGGAATAAAAGGTTATATAAAAAACTTAATATCTTAATATCGATACTTTCCGTATTTCTTATTGCAATAAATAATATTATCCCCACTTGTGACTTACCAGTAAAAGCTAGACTATTTGCAGATGACTTTTTTGAGTCAAGTTTATTTTTTTAAGGAAATAAATGATAAAACCCTTTAGTCCCATCTACAGAAAGTGCTATGGAATCTCAAATTATGGACAACTTCCACTGGTCGTCAATTATCAACAACAAAATCAAAGGCTATGTTATTTTCAACAAAAAAAGAAGATATATCACTCCAGAATTAGTACTATTTAATGCAGAAATAAAATATGTTGAGAAACTTAAATGTTTAGGCATGGCATTTGACAACAGATTGTCCTGGAACCACCACATTCATGATCTAAAAAGTACGTATCAATCTGCACTTAACATTATAAAAACTATTGCACACAACAGGTGCGGAGCAGATAGTAAAACACTGACCCTTATGTACATTACAATGACCCTTAAGTCATTGATCAGGTCCAAACTCGATTACGCTTGTATTATTTATAATTCAGAAAAACCATATATCATAAAACAACTCGATCCAATACAAAATAGTGCTTTGCGAACCATACTAGGTGCCTTTTATATTAGCCCTACTGAAAGTTTACACTGTGAAGCTGAAAAAGTCACCCTGGAATTCCGAAGAAAATAACGTTCACTAACATCGGCATCAATACAGGCAAATCCTATAAACCCTGTTAACCACTATGTAAATTCAGACCGTTTTAGGAATATCTTTAAAACACATGCTAGGCTTGACCTTCCTTTATACGAAAGGGTAAATAGATACCTCAATGAACTTGAATTCAAATTTTCAGATACTTATTGTATACCAGATACTCAAGAACTCAAGACATATAGTAACCATAATCTTATATAAACCGCTGCCTCTAAAACTATAGATGGAGTGAAAGCAGCATTTATGTCTAATAAAACAAAAATATTATTGAAACTCTCTAAATTAACATCCATTTACACACTATCAAAAATCCTGTCATTATTACGGATTCCCCAAGTTCTGTATTTGCCGTAAATATTTTAGATCCTAGCCATCCAAGTCTACTACTTATTAAATTAACATTAAGTCAACTTTGTATGGATTTCTTCCCATATCGGAATTGCTGACAATGAAGAAGTAGATTCCTTGGCAAAACTAGCAATCTCGAGTCCGGAAGCTGTAGTAAATGTATTATTTATAAAGCTGAATTTTTGAGTAATTGTCGGTTACTGCAGGAAAAGTTTCCATAAATGGTCTGGACTTACTAGACTCTACAGTGGCTTGTCTTATATAAGCTATCTTATCAGTCAAATCAATTGATGGATCATGCACTACTTTGAACTGTGACCAAAAGGGAAGCCAATCTTTCAAGTCTCCATTAAATTTCTTGAACTCGATTGGAGGCAATTTAAATTTGCGCTTACCTTTTATACTTGATGACTCTGAACTTACTGAACCTGGTCTTCTTCTTCTTAGCCTTCTGTCGTCCATGTTTGGACATAGGCCTCTCCCAACTCCTTCCATCGGTCTCTATCCTGAGCAACATATTTCCAATTTGTTCCGGCTATTCTTCTGATGTCATCAATCCATCTCATCTGTGGTCTTCCTCTTGGTCGTTTACTTTCGTAAGGTTTCCAATGTTGTATTGTAGTCTTCCAACGTTGGTCTAGCACTGTGGCCCTCGAAGATCCATTTAAGTTTTGCAATTTTTATTGTTATGCCCTCGACTTTTGTTTTGGATCTTACCCAATCGTTCCTCTTTTTATCTGACAGTCGTATACCTAACATTGCTCTTTCCATTGTTCTTTCTGTTGTGGCTAGTTTATTCATGTTTGCCTTGGTTAGGGTCCAGGTTTAACATCCATATGTCATGCTAGGAAGGATGCATTGGTTAAACACTTTGCTCCTCAAGTATTGGGGTATTTTGCGGTTCTTAAGTATCCAACTAAGTTTTCCAAATTCTGCCCATGCTAGTCTTGCTCTTCTAGTAATTTCCGCACGTTGGTTCTCTTTGTCAAGTCTCAGGATTTAGTCTAGGTAGATATATTCCTGGATTTGTTCTATCTCAATGAAGTTTATAGTTATATGTCTGGGGTCTTTTGTGTTTGTCATTATTTTTGTTTTTTTCATATACATTTTTAGGCCGACGTATTGAGAGCTGGCTGCTAGTTCCCCCAACATAATTTGTAGTTCCTTATTTTTCATTATATTTGTACTTAAGTTCAAAGTAACTTGCACTATATTTATCTTTTGCCTCCATCTCACTGATTAACTCTTCTTCGGAAGCTTCTTCCAATATACTTTCAAGTACCGCACTTTCCACTTCACAAAGCTCATTGTACTTTACTTGTATCAGAAATTAGAAGAAACATCCAAACTACGAGACGTAAAATATTGTATATTACCTTGGAAATCAACCCCAAACAAGCGGATGAAAATAGGCCACACCGCCATCACCAATAACCATCTGCTGGAGAGTAAATTTAGACCACAGTGCTACGTATGTGATATTGTGCTTAGTGTTCACCATATTTTACTGGAGTGACCTTTATATTGCACGGAGAGACTTCAATAAAAATTACAAGATACCTTACAGGCAGTATTAAGTGACGGAACTAATATAAAAAATTTAATATCATACTTATATTCCATAAATGTACTTAATAAATTGTAAAACTTTAAATTGTACAACGCCAATGGCCCTATGAGGATGAGGCATAAATAAATAAAAAAAGATAACTTAATATTGTATGTAAGAATACATGTTATAAATCAAAGTCATTATGTAATGAATATAAAAGTATATTAAAGTAAAAAAACAAAATTAATAATATGTATTTTTTCCTCTGCGTTGTATAACACTTTCCATGAGATTTCTTAACAACCTTATTAAGTTTCTGACGGATTAATAAGCAATCGCTTCCTTCTCTCCATCTAATGAAGTTTTAGCTCTGCCACTGTCACTAGTGTGGAAACCTACGTTTAACTTCATCCCATACATAATCGATGGTATTAATAATCCGGACTCAATGGAGGCCAATCCATTGTTGTTATATTGGTGTTGGCCATTTAATCTTTCATAAAACGCGCTATGTGAATGCATAAGCGTTCTCACGCAATATCATAAGACAGTCGCCTGTACAGTCAACGTAAGGAACAACACGATCTAGGAGATTATCTGTAATGTACCGATCCGCTGTTAAACCCCCTCCGCGAGCACCACCGGGCACGAACAAAAGCTCTATTTTTTCTTATAAAGATGTACCACCCCAAAACATACACGAATCATCTCCATAGCTTAATGTTTCGACACTGCAGCACTGGACAACTAGTTCTCCGTACCTCTATTAGACGTGTAGACTTCTGTCATTGTTATACAAGAACATTTGCTCCATTTGCCAAGGTTTCAATTGATGTGTTCTCGGGAAAATTGAAGTCGAACTTGTTTCTGAAGTGCGTTAAATTTAGCACCTGTGTTAGTTCGTCTGGGAGTCAAGGTTGCAGCCATAAGTTTTCTCCTAACTGTCTACCGAGTGATGGAAATATCTCGTATATTCATCAATTATTGTTGAAGCTTAACTCGTGTTGCGTACTTATTCCGCAAGACACTCAGAACTCCTGGTATCGACGGTAAGCCCATGAGACTGCAGACTGTCTCATAAGTAGGCAACTGGCGACAGTGCTCTGATTAAAATAACGCAATTATCTGGGTCGCCTTCACCGATGAAGTATGCATTTGTAAAATATTGGCTTACTGTACTTTGAAGTATACACAAACGTCAACGTTTGACAAGTGACTAAGGTGACCACTGATAAATTCATAGAGGATTACATTGCATAGAACACGTTCGGAAATATTCGAACCTAGCTATGAGGTTGGAATCGTTTTGTAATGCCCCTTTGTTCGCTTCTTGTCGATCGACGATGATAAATATAATAAAAGGTTGAAGTTATGGAGAAAAATGTTGATTTTATTGACAGCTACTAGTAATTATACAATATAATGTTGGTTAGGTAACTACTTCTAATAAACTGTGCTCGCATGAGCTCAAATCCCCAATTTATAATCTCACAAATAATTCATACCTCAGCACAGAGGTTATTGCTTCTATCATACCATACCAAAAAACTTTGAACTATTAGCTTACATTACAATTTAATCTAGGCCGTAATTGCGACACTTAGGAAGTTCAATTAGAAAATATATTATTCGGAAATTTATTTAGTTGTAGGCAAATGAGCTAATTATTAAAATATTATACGATATGGTTTTACAATCTTCATTTATACACGGTGAACTATAAAATAAGAAGTTACGAATAATGTGAAATTACAAATTAAGGGATTAATTAGTGATTGAATACCCTGTGCCTTACAGAAGTAGGAAAATTTTACTACACATTGCCTATTTGCATAAAACAATTACTTTTTTAAAGCTCTATAATAGACAATTTTTTTACAATAGTTTTTTTTTTAATTCAAAGTAAAAAAACATAAAATTACTAAGCATAAACAATAATTCATCAAGTAAGTCGATTTTTTTGCTCGCAAGGTTATTAAAAATGAAATATTAATAATATTAAAACTTAAATAAAGCTTTTAATTTACCTGCAAGACCTTTGTTCCAAGATATGAGTTAGCTGAGAATACTACAATTTCAATCAAGCCCATAATAAGCAGATGTGGAACGGTCGTTCTTCCAAGCACAACTCCCACTGAAATTAATACACTTGCTGCAGCTATATCGGCTCGGTAAATACTAGAAAAAAATAAACAGAATAAGTAAATTAAGTCTGAAATTGACTATTTAATTTTTAATTACTACATGTATACAGTAATATTAAGTATAATTGAGGAAAGAAATATAGAAGAAGGATCAAATTTTTAGATTTTAACAGTTCTGGCTGTTTGTTTTGGTAATTAAATACGTAATTAACAATATTTATTTTTTACTTAGGTATATGCCGTTAATAACGCAGGATATACCGTATGTGCTAAAATTAAATTTTATCATTGTTTCTTTACATTTCACCTCACAGGGACCTCTTCCTCTTATCGTCTGCTTTCATTCATAACTGATATAGAATAGCTTGAATATGCTATAGCTTAAAATGAAGTCATTCCTTTGCGATAACCATCTCAGTTTAGAACTAATACAACGAATGGTTAAGTGCTATGTTTGATCCGTACTCTTGTATAGTGCAGAAGTGTGAACACTAAAAGTATCAATCATGAACAAAATTGAAGCATTGGAAATGTGGATTCATAGGCGAATGCTAAAGATACCTTGAACAGCAAGTAAAACTAATGAAGAAGTACTAAGGAGCATTAACAAAGATAGAGAACTGCTAAAGACTATTAAACATCGAAAAATGTCTTATCTGGGACATATAGTAAGGAAAAAAAAACTGATCCTTAAAGGCAAAATAGAGGGCCGTAGAGGAGTAAAAAGAATACAAGTTTCTTGGTTCAAAAACATTCGTGAATAAGATATCAAATGCAGGACAATTATTCCATATTGCAGAAGATCGAGAAGCCTTCGTAAGTAGATCTTTTTCTGTTATTTTGGGATAATTTTCGATATTAGCAAATACTGTTATATAAATAGTTTAAAAAAATAACGGCAAATATTGTATTAGAAATAGGCTATATAAAAGCTAGCACTGAAGTTAAAGATGTAGATTGTAGTCAGCCAAATACGAGTCCTTTCGCGGGATACCAAGTGTATAATACAAATGTTAATGAAAATATCACGAAAACCCCGTTAGCACCAGCTGCCACTTCTAGTGCTATTTAGTACTATTCAGATAACCACTACTTAAAATTGCACATTTAACATGAATATAAATAATTGCCCAACAACAAATTAAGCAGATTTAGGATGTAATTATGAAAATACAGTTATACTGTACCTACTTGTTAGTTTTAGTTCTCTAATAAATTTTGTTATTTACATAAATAAATTATTTAAAAATGAAAAAATCACTTTATTTAAGAGAGGTTTCTTTGTTATTTAAGGGAGGTGGTAAAATCGTATATGTATAACATGGGAATAAAGTGCCTTCTTCTTCCCAGAATGCTTACTGCTACTTCTCTTCAGTAAACTTGATTCTCGGGAGAAAAATAGCACTTTGCTCCCTTGTTTACAGGTAGGTTTTATTGCTGTAATTTATTGTGTACATTCATTTTTAGGCCGACGTATTGGGAGCTGGCTGCTAGTTCCCCCAACATAATTTGCAGTTCCTCGAATGTGCTCACTATAATCACTATGTCGTCAGCGAATCTGAGGTGGTTTAACTTGTTGCCATTAACGTTAATGCCATAGGTTAACCAATTTGTAGTTTTGAAGACGTCCTCTAGGGCAAGGTTGAAAAGCTTTGCCGATATTACATCTCCTTGTCTCACTCCTCTCTTAATGGGGATGGGATTTGTATTTTCGTCTAGTTGTACTATCATAATTGCATTTTCATATATATATTATGTATTAGTTGCGTATATCTCGAATCTATTCTACAATTATTTTGAAGTTATACTTCATTACAAATGTAAGATATGGTTAAGAGAGAGACAGAAGATATATTTTCCCTCTCGAGAATAAAAATGTTCCTTTTGTAAATATATTTAATATGTATTTATTAATATTATTTTTTTGGTAAACTAAACATATTTATGCGTAAGTATATATATATATATATATATATATATATATATATATATATATATATATATATATATTGTAGTTTTAAATACTAAGAATATTGCATTTTAATTTGTATTGTATTATTATATTGAATTGTGTTGCAGTGTATTATATTGTATTTTTATGTTAATAAGAAAATAAACAATGAATTTTACTGCAGAGTATGTGTAAAATTTTTGCATTCAACTCCTTTTATACATATAAATGAAAATAAAAATATGTATTTTTATTAAAATATTTATTAAATCTCTCAAACGATGCACCACATACCTATATACCTAATTCTTTTTCTCTTTCTGCTTTCTCTCTCTCTCTTACCTATAGCATTACATATGTAGTGATTGTACAAATTGACTCCCATTATAAATTTGTAACGGCTAACGCGTGTATCGAAGTATACCTTTTACCGGCAGTCCCAGTGGACTGCCACACCCGTTTTTTTGTAGTTTCTGCGTCACTATCATCATTCAACTCAATAATAAATTTATTTCATTATTAATGTGAAAGTGAAAATCTTCTTATAGTATTCTTCAACTTTGATCACTTTGGCGATTCTTTTCTGCCAGTCTTCTTTGGTAATAGTAGATACTTCTTTTTTAATTACCTTAATTACCTTCTTATCAAATTTAAGAAATGTATTCGCACGCCTTATACTTGATTTTAATTGTCCCCGAGTTAACTTTGTAGAATTAAAAACACAAAAATACAAGAAAAATTTAATTATAGTGTGTCCATGCTGTTCGACAATACAATCTATGTCGAATAATTTGTTAAAGTGTTTTACGTGAAACTAATGTTACAAAATGAGTCATATTAAAATAAAACCTGTAATTGTGTTGTTTACTTAATATTATGTTCTAGATTTGACGATCGCAATCTACCTGACGCATCAATGGGTCACCCTTCATTCTCCGACGAGTCGAACTTTCGAAGCTGCTATAAAAACCCAGTCTGACCGCACGGCGATCGGGTTTATTCCGGAAGGTGACTACCCGCTTCTAGATAACGGTATTTGGATATAAATACATAGAATTTTTATGTAAGGAGTTAGTCATAAGAAGATCGGGAAACGCGATTTAATTATAACGAAACGTAACATAAATAGTTGTAAAGTTAATTAATAAATTAGTAATTAGTTATCGTGAGTTTTAATAAATTAGAATATAGACAATAAATTAGAATAAAGACAAATAAATTAGAACTATATAAATATACTACACTAAGTTGTTCACAAAAGCTTTCTAGTTCAGCTTTCTTTAAAGATGTATCTGGTGAGTATCCGGGAACGATAGAAAGCGTTGTCAAGCACTATTACACTATTTGGTTCCAAGTTTGGGATCAGTTAGATTTCAAACCAATTTTCAGAAATATCAACTTTCACATCTTCTGGTAGTCAACGTTACAATCCTCTATTTTCTTCCCACACATTACACTACCTCCGCAATGTGCAATAATTAGCCCCGATTTTTATTTGCAGGCATTTTATTATCCACATGTTTTGAACCATCTGTCCATCCTTTCTTAACTTTACCGTGGATATTATGTCTACCTAGTTTCGTCCAAATATTTAATTTGCTACTTTTTTGTCTAGATTTAGTATTTGTTATAACTGTTCGACGTTTATTTATTGTTTTAAATTTCAAGCTTATTTTCTCTATGCAATTTTGAAGCTTTGGAGTTTTGGAATTTTCTTACAGCAGTTCATGTTCCGACCGGATGTTTCCAATTTTTTCTTATTATTTCTATTGTAGATATTTAATTGCTTCTGTTGCAATCGTATATTGCGGTTTTCGGGCGCCACATTACTATTCAAAATAATTAAATTTAAGTAAACAACACTCGATTCAACATCAACAGTGACAACAATAAACAACAATCCCCATCTACGAGTACAGCAATATCATAATGTACAGGGTGGTCCTTAAGTAATGTTATATGTAATATAAATTATATATAATTTAATAAAATGTTAATTAAACATTAATTAAGTTAATTAATTTATTAAATTATTTTAATTAAATGTTGATATTAAGAAAGATACAGGGTGTTACTGTGCAAATTTAAAATTTTATTTTTCGCTATAACTTTTATGTTTGTAAACATTTATGTATAACAATTTACAACTGGGTACTATTAAATATGAGAAATTATAATTTGATTCACATTTTTATGTAACTAATAGAGGGCGCCACATATATGGCATAAATTTGCACTGAACTTTTTGGCTCTTTAAGTTACCTGTATTTGTGACAAAAAATATTAAAGATACATTATTTAAACAAAAAAAAGGCATACCAGTTAATAACTTCAAAACTCAACAAGATAATCGTATTTTACAAATCAGCTGCATAATTCTGATTTAGGCAATTACTCCAGGCAACGAAGGAAAAATAGACAAAAAAATTTATACTTCTAAATTTTAGTATAAAATACTTTTAACTAAAGTGAATAGTTAACGAAATATTAAATAAAATAAATATATCAGCAGAATAATTTATTAGGATTTGACAAAATAACAGAATAATAGGATTTTACATTAAACATTCTACGATTTATCCTGAATAAAAGTCATAACCAAAACATTCTGTTAACAAACCAAATTAAAAAATAGTTAAAATAAATATCATAACTTTTTGTCAAAGTAAATGTTCGATATGTTCACAATTTTTTTTAATTCATTTGTCAATATATTTCATAAAATATCGTCTCATATTAAATACCATCATTGGTTCTAAATAAACTGCTGCAGTATTTATTTTTTACCATAGTTGGTTGCTAGTATTCATGGGATTCTTATAGACACGTTGTTTTAATGCGCATCATACACCAAAATCAAGTGGAATAAATTCTGGGCTACATGGTGGTTATAATGTATATGGACGAATAGATTCTTTTGGACTCGTATCAAAATGTTATGGTATATTATGGAACTACATTTTACTTGTCGCAGAAGTTAAATAATCTATTAAACTGTGATGAATCTCGTTCATTGGTAATTTATATAAACACTGAATAACCTATCGATGTCATTACTTATTTATATGATTATGTTACAGCTT